CTCTCTCACACACACACACATAGACGCACACACCTAAACACACACTCACACACACACACAAACTTTCTCGTCACACTGTGTCTACTACTTGTTAAACTGATTGTTATAAGATGTAAGCAGGCCTGACAGACTGCGTTTCATACTAGCAGTGTAGCAGCCATTTTGTTTCACTACTTTCTGTGATTTAATTTAAATTTTAAATCACAGTATGCAACTTTTTTTGTCATACTGTACCACTCTGTCACCTCTAGCTTTTCCCATTTCAGTTGGTCCATTTCCTAGTTCCTTGGCTAGTCATTCACTTCAGGGGCTGTAATGACAGAGAAATTATCTTGAGGCTGAGACAAAATCCAAAACTTGAAAATACTGAAACAGCTTCAAAATATGTGTTGCTGGGTTTTCAACAGAAAAATATGTTTCCATGAAAGCATCATTTATTTATTTAAAACTGCTTAATAACACTTACTGGTGAGCTTATAGCAACAGAGGCTGAAAGAAATGCAGTTTGAGATCTCCCTTTTTCAGCTTTAAAAAGCATCACTGAGCAACATTATGGGCATGTCCAGACTTAAGACATGAGCACAATGAATGCCATTTACTAAATTGCATTCCAAAAGCTTCACAGCTAGTGTTAGCTGGTAAGAACTCTTCCAATAAAACTTTCCACTTTTAACTGAGAAAGTCTAAAATAAATGACTCATGTTCTTCACTTTTATTTTAGCTGCCAAGGTTTGTGTTTATACTGCAGGAAGCTGAAAAAGATGTGTGTTCTCAGCAAATTTGCTCTGATTAAAGCTTAAAATATAATAATTAGCATTTTTCTCATCTCATTGTCTGGGTAATTAGTGTGCACCACCTAAGAAATACAGACACATTTTGTTTTGTAATGAGCAGGTTTATGAATTAATAACATTAAATATAATAATTAAATGAAGTGGGAATGTTAATTACTATTTACTCAGGCAAAAGAGGTTTGACACAAACACACTTAATACTTACCAGGTGGCCAAAACAGTTTGACCATACTTTTTATTTAAAGACACCATCGTATAGAACATATTGGCCAAATGTTCACTTCCAACTTGTGTAACAGTACACAGAAGTCATGGTTCGGTTCATACCCCCGGCTTAGGAGTCACAGTTTGGTGCAAGTTCAGTACAGATGGGAAAGGATATGTTTCTGTTCATTTATTTTATAGTGCCCACATCAAGACAAACAAATTCTGGGAACTTGCTGGGAACTAAGGTAGCATTTTGCCCATAGACAACTTTGGTATACTGTTTGTATTATGAGAATAAGGACCTTTTTAACAGTGCAAGTTCTGTATTGCACTGTATTAAGCAGTAAAATGAGTATGTTCTATGTCCTTGTCTTATCCACAACTATCTGTCAGTTGCTTTTGTAACTGACTGGCAACCCAAATTGTTCCCAAACAACTGATTTAAAGGACCCAGACGGATCCTCCTTTCCCGGCTTTTCATTTGTCCTCACCATAGCACGACTCCAGTTTGTTGTGCTAACCTCAGCACATGTTGCTAACAGCATATGGCTTAAAGCTTGCCTGTGGCTGTCTGCACTGGACTGTGTCGGGTCAGCGTGAACACATGAACCATTACCGCCCTATACTAACAAGTATTTTTTTTATAAAAAAAAAAAAAAAAACTGTATAATTTTTTATAATTATGTTCAAACAAGTTATGTTGTTGCCAAAAGTTAAATACACATGGGGCTCAGGATACAAGTCCTGGTCTGAGTACACCCACCATCTATGCTGACAACCTCACTATAAGCACTTTACCATGTCTGCAATATGTTTTCTTCAAAACACATTTGACAAAACAAATGTATTGCATCTAAATTACTAGGAGACATGGTTGGCTAAACTGAGCTGATTCTCAGCTACCCCACTCTGGCAACCATATCTAGGCCAGAGCCAAAAACTGGCCTTCTGGTGCCAGCCACGGCCCAGGGTGGCCAAAACTCAGCCATAGTTAGCCGCTCTGGGCTTCCTCAAAAATGTTGTTTTATACTGAGGTCAGGTTTTCAAAAACAAATAATCTGACTCAGTCAGACTCTTCACCCAAAGTTATGTCTTACAGAATTCTGGCTACAAGGTACTGTTGGAACATGGGATGGAAAAGTGTAAAGAGTGTAGTGGTCGATGTGCAGCAATGTGATTTTACAAATTCAATCTTAAACATCAGATTGCAAAAATAACGCTGAAGTACAATAATAGCCGTATTTTCTGCAATGTGATATTGCAAATAGAGGTTGAATGTAATTTAAATTGGAATTTAATGTGACATACTCACAATGTCAGCCAAAGGACAGCTGGTAGTGTGCGAGGAGAAGAGCAGGCTTTGATGATAGCGCTGGCATCAACCTGCGATAGATTTCCCATGAATCATGTTTTATCATGGCGATATTTGATCTGCTTAATGGAGGCCCCACAGCATTCCAATAGTCCCGAAGGGGCTTGAGTATAGTCGGCTGCTATTAATAACAAAGCAGACATATTATAACTTGCTATTCAGCCTGTCAAAACATGACAAAAGACCTGCTATATACGATATGACAGTGACTGCTGCTGTGCAGATCTCCCCAGGACAGATGAAACATTTTCTTACAGTGAGAGTTTTGGACCATGTTAGCTGTCAAAACAAGGTGGAAAGATTTTATGTTCCTAAAAAGAGCCGTATGGAATTCTGCAAACTGACTACTTCAGTTAGTTTTCTGATACATGGGTGACTCTTTCTTTCATCATCCTTCTCTTTCTGCATCTGGCTCTCTTCCACTTTGTCTTTGCCATTTCTTTATTTCTCTTCTTTTTCTGTCTTTGTCACCGTTCGCTGCCCAGACTCTACATTATTTCTATAGAGTTAGGATGCCCTGACAACAGTTGGCATGGCAGTGTCTGTTATCATGCCTCCACCGCTGCCGCTGCTGCTGCTGCCGTCACTCACTTCTGAGTTACTGTGGTGACAGTCATGGTGTTTGTTTAGAGGTGGGATGTGTTGTTTAGGGTTTACAGCACACAATACAGTAGCAGAGTTGTATACAAATATTTCTAGATGACAAAGAAAGAGTACATTTTGACTGAAGCCTCAGAAGAAAGCCTACACCAGAGACAGTCACACTGTCTATATATAGCCTGAACTAGCTACTTTTATTGTGTTGTGTATCTGGAGCAAACAAGATACAAGATATAAAAAAGTTGGGTACGTATTGTTGCTGGTAGTGGTTCATCCATTAATTATAAGGTTGGTGGATTGATCCCCGGCTCCTCCCGCTACATGTCGAACCCCAAAGTGCTCCCAATGCTGTGTGCGAATGTGTGTGAATGGATGAATGTGGCATTTAGTGTAAAGCACTCTGAGTGGTTGGAGACTATAGAAAGGCACTATATAAGTACAATCTATTTACCATTTACCATTCCAATAGTGACCCACTGACCCACAAGTGCCAATGGCATCAAAATGTCTTTTGAAACCACTCCTCCAGCATAATTCATTTCTCTGCTGGAGGGATTTCAGAAGTTTTCATATAGTTTCACATTTGCGGTCACCACTGAAATCTTTTGTAACTGGTGTGATTGTAAGCTGACTACAGCTCATGAAGGAGCATGCTACAAAACCTTCAGTGCCTTTCAAGCCTACGGGAGGTGACTATTTGATACTCAAATGATACATTTTCAGCGGCTTATTTTGTAGTAGTGAGCCATCATTGTGCTTGTGCTGCATTCCCAAACAGAAACAGCATCACTTAACACACCTTTCCCAGAATTTTCTTTTGTTTCTCATATCTCTCTGGTGGCATTTTCTGCCAAACAAGGCAGACAAACCCGCTGCACCTTTGAAAGTTCTGTTTCGACATGACATCCACACCAAGTTGTTATTGCCATGAAAGCACCTGGCAGGTGTCAAACGATGTCGAAACATCTGCCATGCAGCTTTTCCTCCAACCTCACCAACTCTTTGATTTCAAAACTTTCTATGTTTCTCTTTGAGCCTCTTCTGCGTTTCTCCTCCGCCCATCATTCCTCCCATGATAGCTGTCTCACTGTTTCCACAAAATTGTTGAGATTCCCCACCTCACCCATTTTCTTTCCAGAATATTATCCTGCTCCTCCTCCCTTTCTGGTTCAGTCCCCATTAGGGCTCGTCTAGTGAGCGAGACCTCCCATCCAGCTGTAGCTTGAAGGTGACAGGCTATAAATCTCAGACATACCAAAATATGTGCAGCTGCAATGTTTGCAGCTCCAACACTCACCTTCTCAATATGTTGTCATGTGTGGCCGGACAGCTAGGAGTTCAGAGTGTGTGTGATTTAAGAGGATTTTGGGCAGACTACTGAAGTGGCACAGTGCAACATCAGCAGTCCAAACTACTTTAAACAGAGTAAAGCTTTTCCTTGAATTATTCTTAATTTAATCATAGACATTTCCCTCAGTTAGAACACAGTCAGCAAAATTCAGTGTCTACATAAAAGCTGGTGAACTGCACAAACAAATCCACAGCACTTAGATTTTGCTGTGGATTCATCATTCCAAAGACCATGATGCATAATTTGAATGTGGATGTGCTAGTAGATCGCCCAGAGTGGATTTTTCCTCTGCTGCCAGAAAATGTAGTAGACTCACTCCCCTTTTAATCGCCTTTCCTTTTCCCTCCTTTCTTCATTTCCTTTATTCCTCTCCTCCTCTGTTATATCCTCTTCCTTTTGAACATTCACTTTCTCATTGTGGTTTAGGAGCTGTTGCTTGTCTGGTGTTCTCCTCCTTCCTTCCTTTTATCTCCTTGGAAATTTAACTGTTTTGGATTTAACACCTCAATTTTCCTCTCCTCTCCTCTCCTCTCCTCCAAAAGCTGACATGACTGTGTGTGTGTGCGCATGCATCTGGCACCTGTTGCATTACCTATGTGAGACTCTCTATCTCTGTCCCTTCATCTCTCCAGGTGGTGTCCATGGGTCTGTACCTAGGGGAGAAAGCCTATCTAAGGAGCAGCTGGAACATTCTCGATGGTTTCCTCGTATTTGTGTCTCTGATTGACATCGTGGTGTCAATGGCGGGTGGGGCTAAGATCCTGGGGGTTCTCCGTGTTCTCAGGTTGCTCAGGACGCTACGCCCCCTCAGGTTAGGAGGACTAACTGTCGTGTTTTCTGTTCCTGTTTCTGTTTTCTGTTGTTTAGTAATTATGCTTCTTTGCTTTAGATTTATTTGAGAAGATCAAATAATGTAAATCATTAAATGTGAAGCTACAGCCAGCACACATTTAGCTTAGCTTAGCATAAAGACTGGAAACAGGGGCAAACAGCTAGCCTGACTTTGTTAAAGAGTAATACAATCTGCCTAACAGCAGCACCTCACCTGAACAGAAAATGTTGTTTTTTATATTGATTAAACAAATAAGATATAACATGCTAATTAGTGAGCTTTAGTTGTGCTAATAGGCAGATTTTATTACTGTTAGACAGCTGTTTCCATTCTCTGAGCTAAGCTAATCTGCTACTCGCAGTAGCTTCATATTTACTGTACAAGCATGAGAGTATTAATCTTATCATCTAACTCTCCAACAGAAATATATCAGACAATTCTGTGTCACTCAGCCAGTTATTGCAGTGTATTAGCAAGCAATGCATACAAGCATGCAAGAGGAACGTATATACTCTGTAGTAGCAAATGTACGTTTTGTCAAATTCAATCTGTCTGCTAATTGAATGTATTGCTAGTTCTCTATACATATCTCATATGGTTTAAGGCTGTGCCCCCCAACGTGTTTGGCTCAAAACAAATGTCAACTTGCCATCCCAAGACTGGTTACATACAGTATGTTCATGAATTGCGAAAAATCAAACTAAAGAGTCAGTCAGTTTATTTTCAGATTGTTTGATTGGAATAACTTGAAACATCTTAAATAAGTATCCATTCATTCACAAGACAAAAAACAAAGATTAGAGAAATGTATTCAAAAATAATGTAATTTTGTGAAGCAGATTTTTCCCTGCTTTTCTGTCCGATTAACTTCAGATTCATTTTGTGACCGACTCCCACTTCTTTAAAGTTAAAACAGTTTAAAAAATAGCTGAGATGATAGCAGCTGGTGAACTAGGGTACAGGAGCTCAAATTACATTCATATAAGGTAATTTTAGGTCTGAATGAATTCAGTCTGTGCAGTATGTCATTTTCACAAATGCACCATACCACACTCCTTCTCTTGTACAGGCTCTCTTTTTTTAAACTATTACAAATCTGTTGGTGCTGCATTGATATATGTACTTTACATACAGTAGTGTCTACTGCATCAAAGTGAACTTCACAGTTGCCCTGTTTTATTCTTACTTTTGATGATAATAACTCATATTTCAGTTGTATAAAATCAGGTCTAAAAGTTTAGATTTCTTCACTTTTTAAACTTCTCTCCACCATTTGCCATTTTCATTATCTTTAATTCTCTCCCTTGCTGTCTCCCTGTATCTCTCTCTTGGTCCTCCAGGGTGATCAGCAGGGCTCCGGGGCTGAAGCTGGTAGTCGAGACCCTCATCACATCCCTTAAGCCCATCGGCAACATCGTACTCATCTGCTGTGCCTTCTTCATTATCTTTGGCATTCTTGGTGTTCAGGTAAACACCATCAAATATGGATTTATAGGTTCTCCACCTTTGTCATTGTTATCTCACAAGCCTTTAACAATTTATGAAGACTCTCTGCAAGATTTAATTGGAATTACCTTGAGATATGGGACTCAAGAACACAGATAGAGATCTCAAACCTTTTCAGTACAATTCCAGCAACAAAGATTCTCAAGACACAGTATATAAACAACGAGATATATATTCTATCAATTAGTAGATCACATTGTATCTAAACAAAAACAAAGCAAAAAACTATTTCAATCCCCTGTCAATAAGTCACTGTATTGTCAGAAATGACTGATAAAACGACAGTAGGTTTTTTAAAACTGTCAGTATTAACAATGTCTACACAACAGGCTATATCATTAGTATTTTATGTTTGTATCCTATTTGCAGGCGAGTTCAATGTATACCCTGCTTGCTTTTCCCATTTTTATTTAATCAATGCAGTCTTGAATTTTCTTTTGCATGTAGTTGTCAATTCCACCCTGATCTTCACCACATCGTTTCAGGTTATTATCCTCGCTGCATCTTCTGTTGTGCATTATTTTACTCACTCCCCTCTTTGATGTTTTCAATATTATTGAGAATTAAAAACATCTTCTCTCCCGAGGGAAAGCCACACTGTTGATATCAAGTGCTTTTGGAGTCTTCAGTTAGGCTTCATCCACACAGTTACAGATGCTAATTATGAAATTACTTCAAAAGCCGTGTGAAAGAAGTGGGTTTACACACAAGTGTTGTCATGACTTCATCAAAATGTATCTTTGCATGCCTCTGCCTCTCATGTCCCTCTCCATGTGTGTTTTCCTTCCCAGCTTTTCAAAGGAAAGTTCTTCTACTGTGTGGGTTTCGATGTGAAGAACATCACTAACAAGTCTGACTGTCTAGCTGCCAGCTATCGATGGGTTCACCACAAATACAACTTTGACAACCTTGGACAGGTAAAAGAGAGAAATAATACATTGTTTTGAACATATTCATTCTGAATGTAAACAGAAACCATGGTGCACATACATAAACACGATAAACATGATAATGATGATAAGTACACTATAGGACAGAATGTCTCCTATACTATGTAGTGAAAGGGAATAATTAAAAGTGGAAAATAAACTACACATAAGCTATTACTAAATGACTGTATCTATATTTAGAAAGTATACGAATATTAACATTGGAACAGAGTGTTGAATTGGGTCCTACTATAGAACACTAAAAACAAAAAGATGTGTCACAGCTGTCATTAGTAATTATCGATTTGAATGTAGATACAGATATATATCGCATAATAATCAATTTATATGAATACTCAACTACACATTTTAAGTGGTTTCGGGTATATGTGTATGAAATGTGTATTTACGAATTGTTACTATGTTGTCATGTCTTCAGTCATATTTCTATGTTAAGCACTTTATCACACAAATAATAATCAGTAGCATCAACCAGTTTAGACCTAAATTAAGTTTTATGGGTTTGTGTATGTTTCGTTTGTGTGTCTCCTTCAGGCTCTAATGTCCCTGTTTGTGCTCGCCTCAAAAGACGGCTGGGTTAACATCATGTACCATGGACTGGATGCGGTGGGGATTGACCAGCAGGTAATAACAGACACGCACTGAAGGCATATACAGCATTGGTACACTTTATTTATTTACCATCTAGCCATCCATTTTCCAAACAAAAGTAGCTCACATGCCAACATCTTCCTGCTCTTTCCGGGGAATCCCACACGTTCTTATGCCAGATGGGATATAATATCCATCCTTCTGTTCACCCCAGGATCTTCACCAAATTGGATGTGCCCACAACTCCTCCACAGGGAGGCATCCTGGAGGCATCCCCATCAGATTACCAATAATCCTCATCTAGCTCCAAGAATATCCACTCTTCACCTTATTCTTAGAGTTGAGGTAAAACAGGGACTAAGATTTCAGATGGGGGACCATTACTGCATTTTATCCCCTTTAAGCTGTCAATATACTCCATCAGAACTGCTTGTTAATCGAGGGCAGCTTTATTCATTTGAAACATCATATTTAATTTCCAATGTGGTCCGACAACAATGTACAAACTAGTTCTGATTGAGCATAACCCATACTCCCATATTTCCTCTATGTATACTATTAACTATCAAATACCAGTAAAGTGAGCGCAAACACCCTGCAAAGATTGACAGGCAAATTGAGAGCTTGGTTTAAGACTCAGCATCCTCAATTTCAGATGCTGCAACAAACTGCCTGATGAAATCATGTTCCATCATACCACCAAACATTAAGTATTAAAAGGCTGAAAACAGATCCACCCTGCCCAGATTAGAAAAACTGCAGTCACCTCGTTGGACGAGGCTTGAGAGTAAAACTTGCAGGTAAATGCCTTGTGGTCAGCCTTTGACCCATTCATTTCTGCTAGTCTCAGTCCAAACTGCCTCTGTGTCAGCTCAATATCAGCAAGAAAATGATTTCTGGCATTGCCAGTTGAGCAACAGGTGAAACTAAAAGGCCTCAGTGGACTGAAATCTTCTCAATTTTCATCCATCGCACTTGAAACACCAACCTACCCAACATTAAGAGTGGTTTCAGAGATTCTTAGGTTGTAAAATACAGTCTTGTCTGCATAATTTACTGGTTCAGAGGAGTTTAAAATTTCAGTAAACTTAACTTTACCCCCACAAGTCATGCACACATTCAATCACTTCCATGACAAAGTCTGATGACACGATGCAAATTAGTCTTCTGAAGTGTCTACAAAGTGAACCGATTTCCTTTAGAATTGGTTTTATTTGAAAATCTATTAGGAAGTCTATTAAAGAGAGGCCATCATTTTGGATGATTCAGTTTACCTGCCTCGGGGAGAAACCTCCCTGCAGTCCAACATGGCTCTGAATGACTAATCCCATTTGCACTCCACCCTGTGCTTTCAACACTCAACGCTCCTCCAAATTGAAAATCTGACTCTCATCTCCGGTTTTACTGCACCTGAACTTGATTTTTGTTTTGTAATGACTACTTGCAGTAACTACCTCGACACCCAATGATCCCCATCTTTTCTTCACATTGTCTCCCTCCCCTGCCTTATTCTGTTCCCCTGTCATTTTTTTCTAATAGTGGCAGCTCCAGGATTTTTGAACTGTACTGGCTGTGGAGTGTCTTGGTTAATTGGAAGACTACGAGAGGCTTATTTTAATATTTCAGATGTGTCTGGACAAAAATAGATGAGTTCCCCTCACTCTATGCTTATTACATTTATAACATGATAAACTAACCCAGAGCAAAAACTGATATTGAAACGGCACCTTATACTTATTGTATTTTCTAATCAGCCCTATGTATGCATTATTGTATATAGTATACATTATTGCTAATATTATAAAGTATTTCCGAAAAAGATGTGAGTCTACAAAATTTAAGAATTTAAATGTATATCCTGCACTCAACCGTATAAATAGCTCCATCCTTGCCCTGTCCCTATCCTGTGCAGGGTCCCAGGGGGCTGGAGCCAATCGCAGCTCATATTGTGTAGATCCTGGACAGGTCACCACACTTTTACAGGGCTAACATATAATCAGACCAACATTCACACTCACAGTAACCACGGACAATTACCTATCTTCAATTCAATTCAGCAGGCATGGGAGGGGCATGCAAACTCCAGTCTGGGTGGTGGATTCTAATCCAGGGGCACTTTACAGTGAGGCACCAGTGCTCACCACCGGGCCACTATACCATCCTGGATTAGTGTTACAGTACAATGTAAAAACATATAAAGCAAGCAAACCTGTGGAATTAAGCCTCGTCACTCCATCCATCTTCACTGTGACGGCTGTGGCTCAGAGGTAGAGCGGGTCGTCCACTAATCGGAAGGTTGACGGTTCGCTGCATGTCGAAGTGTCCTTGAGCAAGACTCTGAACCCCAAATTGCTCCCGATGCTGTCTGTTCTGGTGAGCAGTCAGCACCTTGCATGGCAGCCACTGCCATCAGTGTATAAATGTGCGTGAGTTTGGCATGTAGTGTACAGCACATTGAGTGGTCGAAAGACTAGAAAGGTGCTGTATAAGTATAGTCCATTTACCATTTACTTTTTCCTCAAAGACTTGTGCCTCCCTTTCATCTTCCTCACTTCCCTTCAGATACTCTACCCAACTTCTTTTGCCAGTAGTTCCTTAATTCATCTCTTTTTATCTGTTTTTCTCCCCTTCCTCATGACTTTATCCTCCCAACTCTTCCTTCCCAGCCGGTGACCAACAACAACCCATGGATGCTGCTCTACTTCATATCCTTCCTCCTGATCGTCAGCTTCTTCGTCCTCAACATGTTCGTGGGCGTAGTGGTGGAGAACTTCCACAAGTGCCGGCAGCACCAAGAGGTGGAAGAGGCCAGGAGACGAGAGGAGAAACGGCAGCGTCGCATGGAGAAGAAGAGGAGAAGTAAGACCCAAGGAAGAAGGGAATAAGGCAGAAAGGAGGGGGAGGAGAATGATGTTTGGAGAACATGAGGAGGAATAATGGTAGAGGGTTGTTGAAAAATAATAAAAGGAATGCAAAGTTGTGAGAGGAGAAAGGAAAGAGGTGGTGAAAAGGAGAATAGATGAAAAGAGTCAAGGGAAATGAGGATAGAAGGGAGGGAGAAGAACAGATAGACACATAAACCTCCTGGGAGGGGAAGAAGAGAGCAAGACTGAGTGGAGGGAGAACTGAATGAATAACGGGAGCCCTTTTGGAAAAAATATATAGCCTCAGTGGAGGAATAGAGGGATCATTAAATCTAGAGAGGAAAAGTAGAGAACAGTAATAGATTAAATATACAAAAATACCAAAGAAAAGTATTAATTTCTCTTTTAAATGTTTGTTAACCACTTCAGAATAAAATGTATTCTAGCAAGTTAGATAATATGTAAAATAATAACGAGTAACACGTCACTCAAAGCTTTGGAAAGACTTTCCTACTATAGGTCCAATCCAAATGGCATATGTCCAAGACTCACACATCCTCAATGATATGACTTTGAATGAGTCACTACTTCAACTCATTTTAAACTACTTAACTTCCTTCTCATATTTTTTTTAACTTTTTCTCCTCATATTATTTCATAGTTTTATCTCCCTCTCTGCCTTTTCTGCCCCTCCTTTTCTCCCTTTTTGGCCAACATAAATCATTCTGTCTGTGCTGTGCTTTCTGCACACTCTTATCATTTTTTTCTTTAAGTTATTTTTTTGGCCTTTTATTTATTTGATAGAGACAGATGAAGATCGTCAGGAAAGGGGGTAGAGAGAGAGAGGGAGAGAGAGCAAAGGGCTGCAGGTCGGATTCGAACCCGAGCCACTGCAGCAACTCCGTATGTGGGTCACTACCGACTGAGCTAACCGGGCGCCCACTCTTATCATTTTTAAAAAACAAATATCTGTATCTCTCTTTTGTCCATTTCTCATTTTTCTTTGCTCTTGTCCTTCGTTTCCCGTCTCCTGGAATAATTGTTCCTACATTATTCCTGTCTTCTTGTTTCCTCTCCCTTTTCCTTGATTATGTGCTTTCATTTCCCCATTCATCTCCTCATATCCCTTCCCCCTCAACATTTAAACTTCCTCACTGATCCAAATCCTTCCTTGCCTTGTTTTTCCTCTTACTTTGTCTCTCTTACGTCTTGACTTTGTCTCTCTCCAGAGGCCCAGAAGCTGCCCTACTATGCGTCATACGGTCCAGCCCGTCTGGCTATCCACACTCTGTGTACCAGCCACTACCTGGACCTAGTCATCACCTTTATCATCTGTATCAATGTCATCACCATGTCTCTGGAGCACTACAGTCAGCCGCAGGTGACCATACTTCTTGATGCTGATGGAGAGATGCTTGGGGTGTGGGTGTTGGAATGAGACAGACACAGCAGACTTGTTTAAGGGCTTCTGAGTGGGTGGTGATGGGCCATCTGGGCAGAGTTTTTTTTTTTAAAGTGGGCACTCCCAGAGGCAGGCTGCCAACCTGCTGCTCTGAATCAGCAGCAAAAAAAGCCAACAACCAAAACATTTATCCACGTGCTGGAATATAAACAATCTGGCAGATTGGGGTATTAGTTATGTAAAATGTTTCTCAGTGGCTGTGATGATCTTAAAATTAAAAATTAAGTTTTAAGTTAAACCGAAAAAAAGGAAAATACAGGCCTTTGACAGTGTCAACCCATACCGCTATATCCTGATTCTGATATTTCATTGTCCTCTTGGGATAATGTATGTTTCTTATAGGCTTTGCATGAGCCCATGTCTCAGCAGAACTGTGCCACCAGATAAGATATGATGAATCAAAAAGTAAGACATCCTGGATGGATAATATCCAGATCAATGACAGTAACCTATTCGAGCTATAGGCAACTAAGGGTATTCCTGCTAAATAACAAAATTGTCTCGATACATTGAAATAAAATAATCTATAATTTATTTCACATATAATTGTTATTTCACTTGCAGGAGGAAATGTAACTGTTTGAATAAGCCACTATAGGAAAAAAGCATACCATAAATAAGCCAATTTAAAGGTGAAGGAGAAACTTTTTTAAATGATTATTCATTTTAAGATGATACTGTAATGCACTAGTTGTTTCTCCTCCATTTTTTCTCCAAGGCCTGTATGCTCATGGATGCTAAATGTGACTTGTTTTGTCTGGAGGCTGCTGGGTTTCAGCATTGACCTGTGCTGAAGGAATATTAGCATCTTATGTGGCTGGCTGCACAGAGACAACCTACACAGCTCATTATTTTCAGTTAACTTTTCCTATTCAGTTTGTTTACACCAGCTTTTACCAACACCGATACTGACAACAACTATTTGAGCTGCCAATGATGTCTAAAGCTACCACCCACAACTGCCAGGCTACAGTCAAAGACATACATGTTCTATAGCTATATAACACTGGACTGAAGCACAATGAAATCAGTAGAGTAAGATAACTAAAAAAAGCTATTATGAAGGGTAACACTGTTGCTGGAAGCTTAAAAGGGCTGTTTAAATGTGTATCTAGGCTCTAAAAACTATGATTCTTTAACTTCACACACTGAGGATTTTGAGAAAGTCAACCAATAAGGTTATTTTTGTTTGCCTTAAAACTAAATTTCTCTTTTCCCCACAGTCTTATGATAAATCCATAACACAAACCGTAAAATAAATTAAGCACAAACTTTTGTAAATGCTTAAGTTGCAGTCTACCTTGTTTAGCCAAGTCATGATTGGCTAAGTTAAAATAAAAGTTTAAAATGTTGGGAATGTATGCTTATTTGCTTTTCTTGTTGAGAATTTGATTAAAATATCAATGTAACTTTCACATCTGTTTGCTAACTATGAAGCTACAGCCAGCAGTCAGTTAGCTCCTTTGTTGAATTTGTACAAGAAAATGTACAAGGATAAGTTGTCAATGCTAAAGCTATGCTAAAATAATAAGCTGTTGGCAGAAGCTTCATATTCACCAAACATTTCCTAAAATGTGACTGAAACCGTGTAACGTTTGCAGACTATGTGGAAACTGTTCAGTTGGATACACGTTCTTTACAGATGTGTTAAAAGTATCTGACTAGCTAAAGATTAAAAGCTTTGCTTATGATCAGATTATACACTAATAGACTAATAATGTGAATGGATACCATGGATACCATCATTTTTAGGACAATGTGATTTATGATATATAAATATTTTGGGTCATTTTGGTCTTACCTCAATACAGTAAATAGACTTACTGACTTGAATTGACTACTATACACTGTTATTGGTAAAACATTTGCATAAACATACCCACATAGCATATATTTATGTTCTTCCTTAATTGGGCTCCAGTGCTTGTGATGATAAGGTTTGATATCTACATTGAACATTCTAAACTTTTGATTCAATTTCTATCTGACTCATTCATACCAGTGTGGTAGAAAGAAAAAAATGTTCTCTGTTCCTCCCCAGCGTCTGACATAATTTAGATGTCTGTCTAAATTAAGCTATCTTCTATTAAAAGAGATTCATTGGCAAGATACTTTTCTCACATTGACAGAACAGATTCACTGAAAAACAACTCTCATCTCTACTTGTATGTTATTTTCTGTCTTTCGCTCTCAACTCCACAATTACAAAGATTATTTTATTGACATTAAAGTAAAACAACAAATCAGATTACAAGATCTTACTGTGGACAAATACAAGGTTATGCTATAAACTGAGGTGTAAAATTCACTGGTTTATTACAGTCAAGATCAGAGATGGAGACAGGAAATTAACTGTCTATTACTCCTGCTAGCTTTTTTCTAACCTCTGTCCCCTCTTTCCCTCTATCTCAGTCTCTGGAGACTGCGCTGAAGTACTGCAACTACTTCTTTACCTCCACCTTTGTGATTGAGGCCTCTTTGAAGCTGGTGGCCTTTGGCTTTAGACGTTTCTTCAAGGACAGGTACAAGGGGTGCACTCACAGCTGCACTGGCGAGTGTTGGGGTTGTTACTCGAAAAAAGTAATATATTACACATTACTTGTTACTTTTTTTAAAAGTCAAGCATTACTTTAGATAATTACTCCCTGTAGAAACTAGTATTTTGTTACATTACTTCTGCATTACTCCACAGCATGGCTTGAGATGCATTGTCACGCACTCAAACAAAACACATTCAAGTCACTCTCTCACCGAACTATGGCTTTATAGTAGACTGGTCCAGTTTATTCAACGTGTTTATTGCTGAAGCAGTGGTTATACCTCATGAGGAGGAGTCTCTCTAATCGTTTGTCAGGCAACTTGTTCTTCATAGGCCTCAGCACCAGACTGCCCAGGCTGATCTATGTTAATATTTATTGTGTCTGTATACCAAGACAATTCCTACACATTTACCCTACCGCTGGATATGTGTATATTCCATATTCTTAAACATATTACAGTAGGAGTGTATACATTTTCCTAATAGGGCAGTTGCTCGGTATATGGGAGCCATTTATAACTTGGTATATTTACTCTTCATGAGGCAACTTTACAAATTGGAGCTCCAAATAGCAGCGAGGGGTAGCCTCAGACCTTCAACCCAGGCACCCTGCACTGTGACATGAGAATGTGGGAGAACTGACAGAAAAAACAAGAAAGATTCAAGTTGCAGAAACATAATTGCTGTGTGGATTATGCCCACAGGCGCTTACAGACGGAAGGGTTTTTTTTGCAGCGAAGATGGAGGTACATTTTGTACTGCATTCAAGTTTCAGGGAAGTGGTTGGGGCACGACTCTAATACTGGAGACCAGAGTTGTATTGCAAGAGTGGATATTGTAGGAAAACAAATGAAATACATTGCCAGTGAACATTTTGCAGATGCATTCGGCATCAGCATTTCTTCATCAAATTGACAGAAAATGTAATCTGGAAAATGATTTTCTTTTAAAATGTGTTTGTTTTCAGGGTTGGTTCTTTAGATGCCTATACTGATTGTTAAATAGATATGTTTATGAAAGCAGATTGATCTATGATAACGCCCATGTTGGTTTGAAGTATGAAAGTAAATGATGACACCAGCATTTGGACAAATACACAATGTCCTCTCTGCATGCAATTCCTAAACAAAATGATGACGTTACACATCACAAAATGTTGAACTACTGAATAAATCAATAACAGTGGATTTACTTTGTTTTAGACTAAGAAAGTGACTCACATTGAGGCTGTGCAGGTGCAGAAACTCTTTTTTAATTTTAATACATTTCAATATATACACCCAGCACCTTAATAATCTGGCGAGGGGGTCCTCTCTCTCCCATCTGCACAGGCTTTTGGAGCAGCTGCGATGGTGTTGGTGAATATTATTTGAGATACACTACTATGTAGATTTTATTATTGCCGCTTCCGATCCATTTTTAGAACTGTGGCTGCGTTAGAGGAAATCGCTGTTGGTTATTTCTGTACCCCTTTTTTGCAAAATGATTTCTTCTGAGCTATTTTAATTCTTATTGCCTGTCTCACTGTTTCTGTCTCACTGTTTCTGTCTCTCTGTTTCTTCCGCTATGTCTCTCTCTATGTAGACGGAAACATTTTGGTCATATTATTCCTTCTATCTTTCCCTCTCCATCCCTTTGTCTTTACAGGCCATCACACTCTTTTGTGTTTTTGGAAAGCCCTGGCTTCATTAGGCGACCCCGTTTTGTGTGTGTTTACACCCTGTGAGCCAGTTGTGTGCTGTTTCTGCTGTTCTGGAATTGAGATATTATCTAGGAAGAGACACATTAACTGTGGAGGAACATACCCTAGGCAGCAATTTTGCAGTAAATTTAGTTAAAAATGAAAGAAACTTCACTGGATTAAAAAAAAATGCAAATGTGTATTTAATGTGCTTTTTAGATTACTGTCCTCACTATCTGGCCTGTCAGCCAGTTTTCCTACTGCCGAATACATGCAGTCTCTCTCTACCCTATTGTATTGCTCAGCCAAACAATGTAATCAGTAAGTGTCTTTTGATGCTCAGTATATATCAGAGGGTTTCCCTTGATAATTCATTTGCATATTAAAATAGTATTAAATCTGATAAGGTATATGATATATGTATAATACAAGCCCATAAATACTCAAAAGCTAAAAACAAAAGATTGAAATGTATTCTGGGTAAAAGCATTGATAAAAAGCTAAATAAAAAATATTTTTAAAAAGTAGTAATACTAACAAAATGAATTGACCCGACTATTGGCATAGAAATAGAAAAATACAATAGAGTATATTGACATAAAATATTGGCTGAAATAACAAATGTCTGTGACATTGAACCACATCTTTTCCAACTCTGAGTGGTGCAGAGCAGCGTGAGTCCATTAAAATTAAAACACATGGCAAACAGCATGGCTATCTCTCCCTCCAGGGGCAGAACCAAAAACATTTGGTGAGGGGAATAATGCATGACCTAAGAGGGGTGCGACGTGTGTCGTGTAGGTACGTGTAGCCAAAGTGAACAGTCCCCTCAGATGCCCCCCAGTAAAATCTAGAAGACACTCTTCAGATGTGAACAAGGACAGTTTTTAACTTCTAAATCAGACAAAGTGTGAAGAAATATGAAAGAAACGTTACTGTTTCAGTCATAAGACCATCATCAACAGTTACTATTCCACATTCTTGCTCACTTTATCACCGACTGGATATGTAATAAATTATTCATTTTGTGTA